GGACTTTTTATTTTTTGGATGATTAATTAGCCATCATAATAGCTTAATCATAAAGTTAGTAACTTCTTCCTACACTAAAGACATAGGTACTTGTCATCTTAAGATACAAGTAGAAGGAATAATGTGAAAGAAAATGCAAGTGTATATCAGTGAAGTCTTGTAATACTATGGGATCCCATGTTTTTAACCAAATCATGATAAGAACACCATAATCTTTCTTGCAAACATGGATTATATAAACAATAATGACACGTGGTAGAAGGAAACAATGGTAGGACATAAACGATATAAGCTATAACGATTGGTAGAATACACATAGATTATTTTGTTGGGGTACTATAAGCCAAATAACTTTAGCTATTAGTTTCTTTTTGATCATAAGGTAACTCCATTAAAATGTGAATATCTTCTACTTTAATTTCTTTTAACTTCCCTCTAATGTGAAATTGACAGGTGAGTAAATCATATAAAGATATCAATCAAAAATAGAGGTTTCAAGAGAGTGTTTTTTATTATGTATCAAGCAACATGCCAAATTCTATATTCTCTACCCTTGTCCTAGAGTTTTTATTGACTTTCTCGAACTTTACTAGTTTCATGAATTGCCTAGTAGAGTATTTGATATGAAAATGAACCTCATATTTATTTTTTTTAACATTTATGTTAGCTTTTGATTTCTTAGCCTTCTCGACCTTGACAACTCTTCCCAAGCCTTTAGTTTAAATTTTATTATTTTTCAATCTCATTTTTCCATGTACAAGAAATCTTTTTTGAATAGATTTGATATATTCACCATATTCAGTATCATAAATAATTAAAGCTTCCCATTAATATTTACCAATCTACTTTAGTCATACCAACCAAATTTAAACAAAATTATAGCAAAGTCATTGAACTTGAAACTTGTCACATCATAGACCCTAAACACAGAACGTAAGAGCAAAAATTGGACTAAAAAATCGAAAAATGCCTTGCAAATGGAAGGAGAAATCCCAAGAGCACAAACCCCAAGAGCAAAAATGGGTCTCGAAAATAGGAAAATGCTACACAAATGAGAGAACAAACCACTTACCTCATCAATGACCAAGACTCACGGTGAAATTGTGACGGTGACGGCGATAGGGCGACAACGAAAAGGTGATGGCAAGACGGCAACGGTTAGATGGTTGATGTGAGACGAGGGAGCTTAGATAAGAACAAAAAGAAAATGGATTCTCAGCATGAAGGAAATGGGGGAAATGAAGACCTGATATATTTTTTTAATTTAAAATAATGACAATTTAATCATTTATATAAATTAATTAATAACAGAAATTTTTTTAAAAATTTTAATGAAATTATAATATTTTGAAAGACTATCTTGTCATTTATATAATTTGAGAGAAATTTTATTATTATTTTTTCTAAATTAAAAGCAATGCCAACTTTCTATTTATATTCATATAGGAAGCATATAAAGTATTTCGTCTCAAAATTATGGTCCATCTAAACTCAACAAACAAGTTGTTCATTCTGGGTCTTACTTTAAAGAAGTAGGTTTGGGTTGGAATTTAGGTTCTGGTTGGAGCCTTAGAAGTTGTAACGGGGTCATCTGACTCAGTCCATTCTCTAGAGAACACAACTATGATCAGGGAAAGGAACTTGAATGGCTCGCATATCAACTGCTCAAAGTTGAACCGGGCATTGGCCATAAATTTTAGATGCTGATTTCTATTAAAAAAAAAAAGTATAGTTGTTGATAGCCATAAAAATGAGATAAGTCCCACATATATATTTTGTTATTTTTTAAAGAATAAATATGAAATAATCATACCAAAAAAAAAAAGGCTTTCTAAATGATAGACATAAGAAATTGAGAATCCAGCCCCCTGTGGCACCAAACTGATTTCTGCACATCTGATCAACCTTAATTAATCTGTAATGCAATTCCAAGTGTCGCTGATCAAACTTTATCCCTAACTTATGAAGGGCATAGTGTTTTGGGTATTTATTATTAAATTTTCAACAAAAATATTGTCTGGAAAAAAATCATATAATACTGGACTATGTATAAAAATACTTCGCATAAGATGTGTATGCAAAATATTTTTTAAAAAAAATCTCAGTTTTAATTTACCCTTCTTAATAACCTTTTTGTATAAGTTTCATGAGCTGCAATTAGAGGCCCAACATATCTGCAGAATAATTTTGATTAATAAATTTTGAAAGCATCAACAATAATTAAAAAACAAAAAGACGAGCGTCAAATCCAATCGTTTAAAAAGAATTTAATTTTTAAAATTTTAAAATCCATTATCTCATATGAATTCATTCTTTTACTGCATCTTGTCCCATTGACATTATAATAAAGTATTTTTATATTATGAAGGTATATAAGTATTCCCCTATTGACAATCTCCAACATGTCTTCATCTTGTAAACCCATTTATAAATTGTAGGCGTGCAAAAAGGTGCAATAGAACAAGTAAGGCCGATATAATCTGATGTTTATTATAGAGCATTTTTATTTAAAAAAAATTTAAGTCTTAAAATAAAATACATGGAGAGTTATTTATTTTTATTTTTTAATTTTATCTCTGTTGTAAATTTAGTTTTGGATTTAAATCCTGTAAAGTTAGAATCTGTGAATTCCAATGAAGTTTACTTTAAAAAAAGATGAAAATTTTTTATATTTTATAAAAAATAATAAAAGGATGAAAAATACTAGTAAGAGCAAATTTCACTGAAATACACGAATTGTAACCTCTAGAGAATTTGTCCCAAAAAAAACGTCAAGAGAATTTAAATCCTTTAATTTTATAACTCATTGTATATTGTATATCTCTCTTTCTATTTTTAATAGGGTTTTAAGTTAAAAAATTTCTTCATTCCAAGATATATTCAAGGAGTTAATTATCATTTATCGGTTCTAGTAAAGGGGCTGGAAGAAGTAGGTGTGAAATGTGTCAAGAATGCGAAGTACTCTCTCTGTTTTTTAATATAAAAGAAAACAACTAACTCATACAATTTAAAAAAATTAATCAAGTATAATAATTATATCTAAAAATTTAAAAATTAAATTAAATTATCTCTGTAGTTGACGAAACAAATTTGCTCAGTGAAAATAAACATTAACTTTATAAGGGATAATTTGAAAAAAATATAGTAAATACTTCTTGAAATTTTTAAATTTTTTATAATAAAAAATATGATAGTTTTTTTAAAATATTTAAAAGGGAAATAGTATATGCTGAAAATGGATGCATAGCATCATACCTTGAAATTTGGGTTTTGTTTTATATGTCTTGTAATTTGAACTTTGTCTTATGCGTGTTGTAATTTGAATTTTCATTTTTTGGGTGAGGCTAAATGGTCATGCTACCTCTTGTTTTAAATAAATAAATTCATTGAGATTGATAAATGATGAGGAAATATAAGTAGGGTATGTACACAACGCCCAAGACAATCGTTATGCCACTTTTCCCTTCCACTTTTGCTTCCCATCAAAGTCAACACTTACAAATGACTCGTTCATCGTCCAACGCTCTCATCAACAACTGTAGACATAATCCATGTCATTTTCATGATTACAGATCGTCACATTTACATACTTGTTGTCTCCCAGAAAAAAATATTTGTTATAACATTCTCTCTGCCCTGCTTTTGAGCTATATCTGGTAGTGTGGCTTTGAATCCTAGTGTCAAGAAGAAAACGTACTGATAGATGAATTATAAGTATCTTTATAAGCAATTTTGGAATTTCAAGAGAGAAAAATCGCTCCCCCCTGCTCTAGTTGGAGATGAAGAATCTATCCAAGCGGTTAACTCGGTAGTTTTCATGTGTCACGGGATTAATAGCATGAGTATTGTATCTTCATATTTACAGTTCGAATTGCCTGCACCAAACCCAAAATCTTCACACTTTTCACTAAGTCAAAGTCATGTTGCTGTTATCCCATAATCTTTTAGGATTTGCATTTTGTGTTTATCACTCTCATTGGACCCTTTATTTTAGTCTAAATTGATCTCCTTGTTCATTTAAATTAATTTTTAAATATTTTTAATATTATATTTATTAATATGAAAATAATTTTTTTAAAAATTTTTTAATAAATCTATTCATCACCAATCTGACTAGTGTTTATTTAATCTAGCAGTTCAATTTAATATTAACAATTTTATAATTTTATTTTTTAACTATTCAAGATAAACTTTAGAGAGTTTAGATATAATTTAGATGGCTTATTTTTATATTAAAAAATTTATAAATTGTATGAATTAACTATTTAAATATATTTTAAATAGTCTAAATTTAATATCAATTTTTTTTATATTTTTTATTTTAATAAATATAATATTAAAAATATTTAAATATTAATTTAAAGGGGTGGTGGAAATCATTGTAGGCTGAAACGGACCATGCTCATCGCATAATGTGGACGCTAATTTTTTATTACACGCAACATTATCCAAAGCACTATAAAATCATTTTGTTACTTTCATAGTGAACTGGACTAATGGCAGCCAGACATTGAGATTGCAGAAAAGTCAAGAGCCCGCAGAACAGGAGAGAAAAAGACAACATAATCTTCCAAAACACAAAATTAAAAAAAAAAAAAAATAGAGATGCAGGATGAAGATCTATGTAGCACGGATTTTAAAAAAGTAAACGCAGCCGTATTCGGTATATATTCAATATGATATTTGTAAGATATTTCTATATATGTATCTCATATTCTAACATTTGTAATATGATTTTTTTTTAATAATTTTTTACTATATCACTTAAAAACTTAAAAAAACACTTAATATTTTAATTAATTATAATAAATATCTTTATATTATTTTAGAAATTCTTGTTTAAAAATCAAAATGCCTATCTTATATCATAAAATGTTGAAATATACATTATAAATATCCCCATACCCATATCCTAAAATATAAAAAATTTGCCGTACCCTGTATCATGCTGTATCATATTGAATACTCGTACCTGTATCTATGCAACCTAAATGAGGATCCCCTACATAAATGAAACCCAGAAAGGTATTTTATCCAATGTTCATTGTCCTTCTCTATCTTCAATAATTCAATCCTATCATATGCAATGGAGAATTCCTTCCCATTCTCACCAACCTTGATCATCAGCTTGCTAACCTTCCTGGTCTGCACCTTTATTTACTACTTCAGGAGATGGCTTACAGATGATACTAAGGTCTCTAATGCCCCTCTAGCAGGCTGGTCTTTGCCTATTATTGGCCATCTTTATCTTTTTGGTAGGCATCAACTGTTACATGAAACACTAGCTGCCATGGCTGACAAGTATGGACCGGCTTTTACCATAAAGATGGGTTCATACAAAGCCCTCATATTGAGCAATTGGGAAATGGCCAGAGAGTGCTTCACTGTACATGATAGAGTATTTTCCACCAGACCCATCGTTACTGCTTCAAAGCTACTGGGCTATGATTGTGCAATGTTTGGATTTGCACCTTATGGCCCTTACTGGCGCGAGGTGCGAAAGATTGCAACAATCGAGCTTCTATCAAACCACAGGCTTGACCAATTAAAACACCTGAGGACTACTGAGGTGGAGATCGCAGTAAAAGAGCTGTACAATTTATGGTCAAAGCAAGGATGCCCTGAAAATGGGGTTTTTGTGGATATGAAGCAGTGGTTTGGAAATTTGTGTTTTAATGTTGTTCTAAGAATGGTGGCGGGTAAGAGATACTTTGGAGCAAGCTCTGAGGATGGTGAGGCACAGTATTGTCAGAAAGTGATTAGAGATTTAATACATCTATTTGGGGTTCCTGTGATATCTGATGCAATCCCAGTGCTTAAGTGGTGGGATATGAATGGTGTTAAAAAGCAAATGAAGAAGACCGCTAAGAAATTGGACCAACTCATTGGTGAGTGGTTGGAGGAACACAAAAAGAGGAGACCATTAGGTGAGCAAGCACGGGAAGAACAAGACTTAATGGATGTGATGCTGAGGATCCTCCAGGAAAACCCAATTCCTTTTTTTGACTCTGATACTATTATCAAGGCTACTAGCTTGGTGAGTTTCTTGAGTTGATTTTCCCTTCTTCTTTTTTCCCTTTTTGTGTTTACTCACACATATAAACAGAAAACATGTAGTATTGATTTAATGGCCTGCACAAGGAATCTATGTCCTTGGAATACCCATTATTGGAGAGAATGATAAGATAATCATTTCTCTTCTTCCACGTACTTTGTTGCAGAATATGATAGCAGGAGCTGACTCCATATTGGTCGCAATAACATGGGTTTTATGTCTGATACTTAACAATCCACGGGTGTTGAAGAAGGCTCAAGATGAGCTAGATATTCAAATAGGGAGAGATAGACAAGTCAAAGAATCTGACATCAAGAGTTTACCCTATCTACAAGCCATTGTGAAGGAGTCCTTGCGGCTCTATCCTGCCAGTGGAGTCATAAATTTTCTTGAAGCAATTGAGGATTGCACGCTTTCCACTGGTTATCGCATTCCTGCAGGCACACAGTTGATGGTGAACATATGGAAAATACATCGTGACGAGCATGTGTGGCCAGATCCTCAGAGCTTCCAACCTGAGAGATTCTTATTTAGTCATAAGGATATTGATGTGAGGGGCCAAAACTATGAGCTGCTTCCCTTTGGCTCAGGAAGGAGATCATGTCCTGGTATATCATTAGCACTACAGATGCTGCATCTTACCTTGGCTACATTGTTGCATAGTTTTGAACTTTTTACTCCCTCTAATGAACCGGTGGACATGACTATGGGACCTGGATTGACAAATATAAAGGCAACCCCACTTGAGATCTTTCTTGTTCCTCGCCTTAAATTCTAACTCGATGGATGTATTTCATTGTAGCTTTTTCAAGTGGGTGAGGCCAAGTGAAGCCTAGTTTTTCTTTTGTTAGTGCCCTTTTAGGCATGATTGTTCTTATGGGGTTGACATGTATGCATCAGTATCAAATATCGTTTTTGGATCAAATCAAATAAATAGGTGATCAGTGGCTAAGATGTGTTTGATCTTGTACAATCACTTTTAGACATCAATTGAAGTGAATCATGTGTTAAAGTTTTTCCAACCGATAATGGTGAATAAAATCTTAAAAGAATAACAATTCATGTCTTGATTAGATAATTAATGTTGGATTAAAGGGCAAAATTGCTCTAAAAATTACTCTTATCTTTTTATTAGAGCAATTTCGCTCAAAATTTTCAAAGAGAGAGCAATTTCACTTTGCTACCGGTGAGATCACTTGTTGCCAGTTATTTTAACTTTTTTTTTTAACAGGTGGCATTTAAAAAAAATTTTAAAAAAATCTAGAAAGGCCCTCCGAAGTATCGCACTTGGTTGACATGGAATATCAATCAAATTCCCTCAATTTCAAAAGTAGATACAGCGCATTTTGCCACATCCAAATCCTATAGCAGCACCGGAGCCTGTGAGAGAAACAATAGCATAAACCAGCATCATAAACGGCTTTTGCTTCATGTTCATTTCCTTGTAAGCCATGGCCGGTTCAATCCCTGCGAATAACAGAAGCACCCCAAGAATTCCGATTGGAAATTCACTGAGAATTCTCACTAAAGAGTTCCTAGAACCAAAGCAAGCACGATTTTCGAAACGCCACTGAAGCTCTGCTCCTTCCCCCAAATCGATATTGACCAGCCAACCCGCTGGCGCCATGGCAGCAAGGCATGGCGTCGAATCAATTCTGGCTTCAAGAAAGGCACAATCGCTCCTCTCACTCGCTTATGATCTTCTCCACTCAGCTCCAACAAGTTTCGATCTCCCAGTGTCATCCTTATTGACTACGTCTGTTGGTTCGCCAGTGTGCTTCCGTCATCAGTGAACACGAACTTGTTAGCGGCCTGGCCGTAATGAACACCGTCGGTTTGCAGGACAGGTTCAACTTCGACACCAGCCCATACTTTTTCCCTCTTTGTTGGATCCATTGCTCTACGGTGTTGGCTCGCATGGCTCGAAGAAGACCGAAGCTTTGTCCTATAATGGAGATTCCCTGTGAACCAGGAGGGACTTTTCTTCTGCTTCTTGATGATGATGATGACCGTTTCGTTGATCTTGTGAGGAAGAGGATGATTGGGGTAGTGAGGAAGAGGATGATTGGGTTAATGAGGAAAAGAAGTGTAGTGAGAAGGATGTTCATTGTTAATCTCTCTGGGTTTCTAGTTTGGAACTTTGAGGATGAAGACGAGGAAAGAGAAGAGGAAGGAGAAGACTTACACACGTAAGAGTTATTAGTCAAAAGCAATATTTAACTGTCAACAGTTAATCAGGTTAACAGCGGGTCGAAATCCTCCTTTTTCTAAAATTTTAAAATAAAATTATTTCAACTAAAAAGAAAAAATATTTAGTATTCTTTTCACAAAACTTTTAAAATATTTTATTCTTTAACCCATTAACATTAAATTAGTATTTAATTACTGTTTAAATTTTTTGTTTTTACTATCAAAATTCCAATTCTTTTCACAACTTTTCATGGCTGAGAAGTGTTATTCAACAATAATTTTCTCATCAAGATTGGAATTAGTATTTTTCCTAAAATCTTGAACAAGCTCGGTTTGTGCACCAAAAAATTGAAACAAATATAATCATTTGCCTGCCACTCTCATTTGGAAACAGGACAATTTAGCTTTGACATCAACCTACTCAAATCCACGTCAAACTTCAACCGAAGGCCACACCAGATTTTATCATGAGAATAAATGGATCTTCTTATCAATTAATCGTTCAGCAGAAGATTGCACTAGGCCTCATTGAAGCATAGATGACAGAAATATTCAATTTCCTGTTCTTCCGCCAAAAATAAAATAACACTTGATCCATTAAACTACTTAATAAATAGAATATGGGCAATTAGAGGATCGAAAGATGAGAATAGAACAATGGGCGGGTAGTTACGAGGTTACATCTTAGCAAGGCCCGAACCTGATATCCATTTTTCAGCCTCTTGTTTTGATTACAATACACCTCTTCCTTAATTTTCTTATCTATTTCACACTTGGATGAAGATCTCACCTTTCACTCACAAACAGTGAATGAGATTACAATTGCAAGTAAAAAGAAGCAAATTAAAACCACAAAAATATATACATATCCACTATTCCACATATAGACACAATCCTGCTTTCAATATCTTCTTGATCCATATTTCCTCAGAGATGAAGATCTAGGGTAAACTTCAGCACCATTACGATGCGACTGATGCTGAATAGAGGATTGCTCCGACACTCTTCTCATCTTCACCGACTTGTCCAAGCTCCCATTGTACAGAATACACCTTTGCTCATTGCACATAGCCTCTTGATCTTTCTCCACCGCTAGACACTTCACCGGACCGGTATGGCTATTCAGAATCGATATGCAATGATGCTCTCCGTTCAACGACCTTTTCCATACACATATTGACATATCAGTAGACCCGCTGAACAATAGACTCTGTGCCGTAGCTAAGCACAGAATCGCCAATTTATGGCCCCTCAAAACGCCACCGTGAGATAGACTCCTATCCCACTCCCTATGATTCACCAACCCATCTGACGAACCAAAATACAGAACGGACCCTTGTGGGTTTATTGCCAACGCCGTTATTGCGCTCTCTTGCTTTATCATTACATTTGAAAAGAAAAATGCTCCGTTCCTTTTCCTTGTACTTCCCTCCGCCACACATTTACAGTGCCGTCAGCGGAATCGGTGAACGCCAATCCGTCGAATCCCAGAACCAAAGCGTTAACGGCGTCGTCGTGAGCGGTTACAGATTCTAGGCATTTATAGTTCGCTGCACGCTATACTTTGAGCGTTTCATCCCAAGAAGCTGAGTAAATAAGGGAGCAATCTTCTGTTAGGCCGAGGCACGAGATGGCGTCGTAGTGCTTAATCCAGAGCTTGCTATGGTGTCGTTTGTCTTGACTTTCCATGTAATTGCTGGGTTTCGTTGCACATTTGCTGTAGTTTCTTAGAGTAGGCATGGTGGTCATTCGCTTTTACAGTGTTTCATCCTCACCGGAGACTTTCCAGACCCGGATCTTTCCATCTTGATGACCCGTGAGGATTCTCTCTCCTGCAATCACTATTGCGTTTACCAAATCGCTATTTGATTTGAACCTAAAAAATTCCTTGTGGTTCTTCCACACCCGAATGTTCTTGCTATCGGATCCTGTATACAACAAATCCTTGCATGCCGCGAGCGAGTATATATGGCCCTCTTGGCGGATTAGTGATCCCAATAAAATACTGGACAGATAAAAAATGAAGAGAGATAATATGGTAGAAGAATTATTCTTGTTATTATTATTGATTGTGAATAGGACAAATTATATAGAGCCTGCAGAGCTACAGTCGTGCAAGCGTACAATTATGCTGAAACAATAAAAAGGTACAGTATACGTGTCTGCTATAAAGGATAAGAACAAATAAAATATCTGATCTAATGTCTTCTAGTATCTTCTGAGATAATGGACTTAGGTTTGGATCTACCACGTAGGTTGTAGACAATATTAGGTTTAGAAAGAATATGAGCCTTGTTCTTAACTCCTCCCTTCGAATGAGAGGGTATGTCAATGACACCGAGTTTGCTCCTCAAATAAAGGAGAATGATATAATAGTTTTGTGAACAAGTTAACATTCTGTTCTTTTGATGGAACATAGTTGATATGTAATTTTCTTGCAAGAATTTGATCTCTCACATAATGAACATTTATCTCAATATGCTTTGTTCTAGCATGATAGACTGGGTTTTTTGCCAATGTTGTTGCATTGATGTTGTCACACCATATGACAAGTGTGCGAGTTCTTGGAATCCATAGCTCAAAAAGTAAAGAATTAATCCAAGTAATTTTTGAAGCAGTGTCAGCTAAGGCTCTATATTTTGATTCAATGCTTGATCTAGCTACAACACTTTGCTTTTTAGAGCACCATAACACTAGTGATTTGCCAAGATACACACAGTAACCAGTCACGGACCTCCTATCAGTAGGACATGCTGCCCAATTTGCATTAGAATATGCTGTTATATGTAATTGCGTTGAAGGAGTAATGAAAATACTAGTGCAAGCCATTCCTTTGAGATATCTGAAGATACGTTTGACTCCTTTCCAGTGCTTTGTGGTAGGTTTGTTGAGAAACTAACTTAGGTGATTGACAGCAAAAGAGATGTCTGGCCGTGTGTTGGTGAGGTATTGTAATGCTCCAAGTGCACTTCGATACTTAGTGACATCTTCTATTAGAAAGCCTCAATCATCTCCTATGATTTTTTCACCAACCATAGGAGTATCATAGGGAGCTGCATACATCATTTTATATCTCTTCAGCAAATCTTCAAGGTACTTGCCTTGGTGAATAAAAATTCTAGTATGATCTCGGGCGATTTCAAATCCTAGAAAGTAGTGAAGGGTTCCGAGATCTTTCAAGGCAAACATGTCACCCAACCTTTGAATGATATTCTGGACTTGGGTAACATTACTTCTAGTTATCAATATATCATCTACATATATAAGAATGATAATGATATGACTTGTCATTCTCAAGACAAAAAGGGAATTATCACTCTTAGTATTATAGAAGCCTCAACTTGTGAGAACACCATAAAGCCTTTCAAACCAAGCATGTGGTGCTTGTCCTAAGCCATATAAAGCTTTGCGAAGTTTACAGACATGATGAGGTTGTGTAGAATCTTTAAAGCCAACTGGTTACATCATACATCCTCATGGAGAAAACCATTAAGAAAGGCATTATTGATGTCTAATTGCCTTAATGGCCAATAAAGAGTGACAACAATAGTTAATATGATACTTATTGTTGTAAGTTTACCAATTGGACTGAAGGTGGTGACAAAATTAACACCTGCATCTTGTTGAAAGCCCTTAGCAACTAATCTGGCTTTATACTCATTAACTGATCAATCAGCAAGAAATGTTTTGAATATCCACTTACAATCAATTACCTTCTGATTTATGAAAGGCACTAAATCCCAAGTGTGATTCTTCATCAAT